CCCTCTAGGTTCGTCAACTGAACATCGAAGCAGCTCGCCTCACGTCAACCCATCCAGCCAAGTCACAGGACATCGAATCTAAACGATATGAACTCGAGGAAGCKTGGGCAAACCTCAAGGATCAGGTAAATATATGACACTCTTAAACTACTTCTAAGAGTAGCTGGTAGTAATACAAGTTAAGATCAAGAGCTTTTATTCTTTATTTATTTATTTAATAAACTTTYACCCTAAAATAACTATTACAAAGTATTTTGTAGACTAAAAAAATAAATCTTTGGGTGAGGAAAACACAACAGAGCTGGGCTCCAAACAAAGTGTTTCCTATAAATAAATATAAATTTAAAATATCGAATGATAAAAAGTCATCTAAAAGCAAGGATTTTAGAAATTGATGTTGTGGTTGTTTTTTCTGGACTGTGTGAATTTTCTTTTTTGCTTATAGAAGGATCGTGTCTTATCGCATCGTCAAACCAGCTAAAGAGTGTATTGACGACTCTTAAGACTCCAGCGTGATGCAGGCTTATCCTTGAATCAACGAGTTGCTTGTTTTGTTATTCTAATTTCTGGTTTTGTTTACTGACCTCAGACATAACTTGAGTGAGGCTAAGCCCGCCTACGCTGGAGTTCTAAGATGCGTTAATAATTACATCGACGCGAGCATGCAACCATATGCATAAAGATAAAAAGTGTTTTGAACTCAACTTTGTGTAACAGTCTTTGTTTTATWCCAGGCCGCTGCCAGAAAAGGAAAACTGCTTGATTCTTATGACTACCAACGCTTCTTGAATGAATACAGGTAATACTTGGCAACAAGTGCATAGCTAATAAAAACTTCCCCATTCCCATGATTTTGTAGGATTCACCAACTGACCGATTATCATGAACCTCTCCATCTTATTGGAGCATTAACAGTTGCCCGTGAACATGATGCTAAAGGTATTCCTCCTAACTCAGTCGAGTCTGATTGTCCCTCTAACTTCGTCGCACAGAGAGTGGGGACTCGACTGAATTAGGAGGGAGAAGAGGGACTGTTTACAGCTCAAGAGCACTACTGCTACGACACCCTTGATTTCCTGTTTGTACATCTTGATATATATTTTAAAATTTTAGACCTAGTGAAATCCTACATCCTGCTGATGTATGTGTTGCTTCTGTTTTAGGGACCTCATATCTTGGATCAATGGTATCAAGGCCTTAGTATCATCAGACGAGCTGGCTAAAGATGTGGCCAGTGCTGAAGCCTTGATCGACAGACACAGGGTGAGTCTTCACGCTAATGCTGCTGCTTCTTATAGTAGCTTTCAGTGTTACAAGAACTCATCAGCTGTGAGCTGCACACTGAAAATAGGGTTTGTCTGCGCTTCATCGTTCAAAACCTATCTGTCAGTACCTTTTATAGTGGTAATAAATTATGCGTTCGGCGTGTGTAATGAAATAGAGAGAATAAGAGAAAAATATCAGTACCTTTTACATTCTGGACTGGGAACTCAGTAGCTACGGAGTTGCATAATATTTTGAAATTGCTGTAATTTTTCTGTCTATTTGTCTATGCTTGTTTTTTTTTCCTCCTTCGTTTTCAAATTTGTTGGTTTTGTTGTTATGTTGTGTGTGTGTGTGTGTTTTTTTTTTTGAGTTTCAAAGATTGCTTACGTAAGACGTACGCCATTTTGAATATAGCAATTTGTGAATCTTATAGTGTCTCCTTCAGTGAACACTTTCTTTATAAACTCCCAATTTGAAATCTCACCAAACAACATTTCATTGCATTGTTTTATCAGGAGTACCGTGCTGAGATCGATGCACGTGACAGCACCTTTCAAGCCTTTGATGAGTTTGGTCGTGAGCTGCTTGAGAAAGAGCACTACGCTAGCCCTGACATCCAGGAGAAGCTAGAGAGTCTTGCTGAAGAACGAGAGGAACTTGAAAGGTTCGATGATGTTGGAGTTATTCTTGGAATAGTTAGCTATGCCTAGGCCTGTAGTTTTACTGGACACTTGTCTAGTGCTTATCTTGGTAACTGACTTTTTTTCATTATTTTTGTAGAGCTTGGTTGGCAAGAAAACAGAGACTTGATGAATGTCTGGAATTGCAGGTAAGATTAGTTATGGTCTGATYATGAAATTAATGAAGTTGATAATGGCGACTGACGTGGAAAAGTGTGATTATGAAATGTGCTCGACATTTGTAAAGCTCAAATGAACAATGATTATGATGAAAGATGAGGCGGTAAGCCGTGTGGGATGGGCTCGGAAATCATATAACAACATGCGTAATAGCTAAATTTCGAGCCTTATATGAAACGACTGAAGAAGAGGGCCAATGGGGGCCAATTGGCCTTTCACAACTTCAAGTCGCGTAAAAAATGAGCCAGTTCAACTAGAATGATTATGATGATATTACTGGTGGTGGTGGTGGTGATGATGACGATGACGATGATGAAGATGATGGTAATGATGGTAAGCATAGTGATGGTGGTTAAGCCTGTAATGAAGAAAGACTAGCGACTTTGTTGTGGGTGAAATAATGAAATTGGCAATGGCGAGTGACGAAGATGATTATAAAGATGATGATAATGATTATGATGAAAAATTAATGGTGGTGATATAATGATGGTGATGCAGGTAATGAAGGTCTGTAATAAAGATGATAAAGGTGATGGTGAAGATGCTCGTGATGATGATAAAGATATCCCTGATCATGATCATAATTAATGATGATGATGATGAAAAATTAATGGTGGTCATAAAAATGATGGTGATGCAGGTAATGAAGGTCCGTAATAAAGATGATAAAGGTGATGGTGATGATGCTCGTGATGATAATAAAGATATCCCTGATCATGATCATAATTAATGATGGTGATAATAACAACATCTATAATAACCCTATCATTTTATTTACTTTCTTCAGCTGTTTAATCGCTCAGCCGAGCAGCTCGAAGCATGGATGGCAACACGTGAAGCAATGATCGAGAAGGAAGAAGACACGGAAGGAGAAGGTGCCGATGCCTTAATCAAGAAACACGAGGACTTCACACGTGCCTTGAAAATCCAAGAAGAAAAGGTGGCCAACCTGAAGGCCAATGCTGACAGGCTTATTAATGATGACCATTATGACTCTCCCGCTATTGCTGAGAGGATTGCTGCTGTACTTGCTCGGTGAGTGAATGTYCAATACGCACYATAAWCACTCGGGCTTGTAGTATATGAAGMAACTTATGCAGCTGCAAATTGAAACACTCTTCAAGACTCATATATARAGTTGCTTCATATACTGCGAGGATCAGCTCAATTTGATACATTACAACCGCAGTACAAATAYATATTTCATTCATATTCTCATACACACTCGGGCTTCCGTCTTGCGTGGCGTTTTGTCTACGCTTTTGAGTCGACAACATATAAATACAGAAACTAGAAAATGAACATTGAATCTTTGATTTTTCTAAAAGGTGGGCTACACTGAAACAAGCACTGGTCGAACGTCGATCCAAACTYGGAGAGTCCAAGACAATCCAGCAGTTCAGTCGCGATGCTGAAGATATTGAGTCTTGGATAAGTGAGAAGCTGCAGACAGTCTTGGATGAGTCGTACAAGGACCCTACCAACCTACAGTCGAAGTTCCAAAAACATCAAGCATTCGAGGCTGAAATTGAGGCCAACAAGGATAGAGTGTTTGAGACCATTAATCTGGGTGAAGGTAAATAAAGAAAATATTAATGTTGTTCTTGCTTCTCCTCCTCCTCTTCCTCTTCCTCTTCCTCTTCCAAATCCCACTTTGCAACTAAGAATTCTTGATTTTTCTTCGTAGGTTTGATTGAACAGAAGAAGTGTGCAGGCAGTGAGCATGTTGTGCGTGAACGAATCATTAAACTCGAACAGCAATGGGAACAATTGGTAACAATTTCCAAAAAGAAGACGCTGTACCTGAAGGAAGCCAATCAACAACAGCAGTTCAACAACAACATCAAGGATTTGGACTACTGGTTAGGCGAGGTAAGTATATCTACTAGTAATACAGTGCTTTCTCATGTTATACCATGGAATGAACCACGCCTTTCGTGTTTTCTTGTACACACACCACACTTCAGGTCTGCATGTGTTTACTAAAGGTTTCCCTTTATCCCAAATCATTGAAAATATCCAGCGATTTAGTTACAAAAACTTGAAAAACTGCCATACCTGATGGGGAGAAAAACTGTTTAATACCATCCCTGCTTTCTGCTTGGCTGTATTCACGATCCTTTCGGAATCTTTGACACAATTAAGAACAACAGTTTCATTTATGGGGTTTCAGGTAGAGAGTTCACTGTCTTCTGATGATTATGGCCGTGACTTGGCCAGCGTGCAGAACCTGACMAAGAAACACCAACTTGTTGAGGCCGATATTGCAGCACACGAGGTAATAAGCAGTTGGTTTATTAGAGAGTTTTAGATTGACTTTATTTCTTCCCGCAAACGGCAAACGTGACCACGTTTTCATCGTTTTCTTGTATTTTACTTTACCTTTTACAAACTTTCTCACTACATACAAATATTCTTTTGTTTTTCTACTACTTGGATTTTTTTGCAAGTCCTTTTCAGTAATGTAAAATACTTTTTCACAGGACAATTGACGTTTGCCGTGAACGTAAATCTAAAACTCTCTATTATCAAATATAAGTTGTGCGGAAACGGAATTTCGATTTTTATCTCTTTCTACCTGTATTTTGTTTCCCTCTGTTTGTCTTCATATCTGGGTCTGCCTGTCTGTTTGTCTGTCTGACTCTGTCTGTCTGTCTGACTCTCTCTGTCTGTCTGTTTGGCTTGACTAATGAATTATATCCTTATTTCAGGACCGTATCACCCAACTCGAAGCTCAGACTCAACACTTCGCAGAAGAAGGTCACTTYGATGCTGATGCTTTGCAAGAAAAATCCAAAGTCATCACTGAACGTTACGACAAGTAAGTTTTCTTAACTAAACTGAGCTTAGAGATCTCGAAGAGTACCGTTGATTTTGATTCAATTAACTTATTTTGTTATTCTTTTRATAGGGTCAAAGATCTTGCTACGGACAGAAGAGACAAACTTCAAGAATCAAATGCTCTKCACCAGTTCTACCGCAACGTTGATGACGAGGAGTCCTGGATCAAGTACGTATGCACTTTTCAGTTAACGACAGCGACACTTCAGCTAGTTCTTTCGATATATCTTCCCTCGAAATTTTATTCATTTTATATTTTATTTTATTTTTTTGGTATTGTGCGTTGGAATTGAGGATTTCGAAGTCTCAATCGAGAGCCAAGATCGTAACTGCAATATGTTATTTAGCACGTATTCAATCCATGTTTTCTTAAACGTTTTTTTTAATCTCAGAGAGAAGAAGCTACTGACGAGCTCGGAAGACTACGGCAAGGATTTGAGTGGTGTTGAGAACTTGAGAAAGAAGCACCAACGTCTAGAAGCTGAGATCCAAAACCATAAGTCTAGAGTCGTGGTATGTAGTGCCTTCCAAAACAAAACAAAAAAACCAGTTCTATGGAACTTTATGTATATATGTTTTTTTTCCTTCGTTGTTTGTCCACAGCTCTAATTGTTTCAGGTTTAGGTTAAATCATTGAGAGCATTTTTTGCTTTATTTTAGCGGTTTTGAGCAGCTGGACCTGGAAATACGTCTCAACTTAAAAGGTCTATTGTCTTATCTTTTTACAGTTTATTGATTCTTGACGAATGACTCTTTTTCGTAGGTTGTGATTAACTGCGGTGAAAAGTTCATCGAAGAAGGTCACAGCAACTCTGATGAGATCAAAGCGCGTGTAGATGGACTACAAGAAAAATGGAACGAACTGGAATCTCTTGCTGATGAAAGGTAGAACCAGATTTTTTGTGGGGGAGGGGGGGAGGTAGATGTGGCCTTTTTGAGAGCTGTTTTCCTTCACATCAAATCTCTCTTAATTCGAACGCTTCCCTTCAACTTTAAAACTTTATCGATACCCTGATTCCATCATTCTATCTTTTCTTTCATTTTTTTACTTGGTGAAAGRACTTCCAAATAAGGCAATAAATTACACAAATAGTCCTTTCTGGAATTCTCTTGAGTGACCACGAAATAGTGGTACCAAGTCGAGGTTGAACCCGATAAAATACAGTAAATGTATGAACACAGTCAAGACTAACCTCGACTTGTAGCCAATGTTTCGTGGGCACTCAAATGAATTCGGGATAGGTATATCGTATGTAAAGCGCCTTTGATTATATCCATATAGAAAAGACGCTATATAAATCATAAATCATCATATCGTATCCCCTCCTTTTCTGCACGAAGAACAATGGTTGCTGTGTTGTAGCCTTCTTTGTCTTTCCTCACCGTCTGTATATTTTGTRTTTCAGGCAACACAAGCTTGACGATTCACTGGCTTACCAACAGTTCAGTGCCAACGTTGATGAAGAAGTTTCCTGGATTAACGAGAAGAACACKTTAGTTGGTAGTGATGACTACGGCGACACACTCGCCGCGGTGCAGGTAAGAATACTCCTTCAATTCTATCTTATAACTATGAAAGAACGGCATATGTACGAACGTGCCTAGCCTACGTAGTGCTTCCACTCCCCTTCCCTTTCCCCTCGCTAGCCTCCCTGTCCTCTCCCCTCTTCAGAGCGCCGCGCCGCTACGCAGGCCAGGACATAACGTGCCGTGCCGTGTTTTAACATTGTACGATCTTTGTTCTGTCTTATAACTGTGAAGAATGGCTTATGTACGGACGTGCCTAGCCTACATAATAATTGCACTCCCCCTTCCTAGCCCCCCTCTCTTCTCCCCTTTTCAAAACGCCGCGCCGATACGCAGGCCAAGACGTGACGCGCCGTGCCGTGTTTTAACATTGGACGTTACTGTATGATACGATATGGCTACATTACGGCTTCAAATTTGCCGTATCGTTTACAACTTTTATAAAAAAAGCCCTAACTAGAACGCAGTTTTCTTAACACAAAAATGTGCGTTCTCGATTTGCCGAAGTTAGTAGGAGGCCATACGTGACTATAGTCCATATCCAAGCGCCGCCATATTGGAATAGAGACGAGGAGTGGTACGCACTTGTTTACATTCGATTAACTGTTGTGATACTCTTTCAACAGGGACTGCTCAAAAAGCACGAAGCTTTTGAGACTGATCTTGAAGTGCACAGGGATCGCGTGGCGGACATCGAGAACTCTGGCAAGAAACTCATCGATGATGTAAGTCAAGTATTCAAAGCGGTACACAACTGCTTAATTCTTTTTTTTTTTTTTTTTTTTTTTTTGTCGATTCAATTTTTTTCATAAACTTTTATTAATATCTAATTATTATTATTTTTTTTTTCAGGGCAATCATCAGTCAGAACTCATTGAGCATAGAATTTCTTCCATCCAGGTAATGGCCTGTCAAGCTTTGTACGTCCAACAGGAAAAAACTATTTTACCTTTTGATAGTACTTTGTGTTATGTTGTTAAACTTTTTTTCGCTTGTAGAACAAGCTTGTCGAGCTGGAGCGTATGGCGTCCTACAGGAAAACAAAACTGAACGACAACTCCGCGTTCTTGCAGTTCAACTGGAAGGCCGATGTGGTGGAATCATGGATCGGTAAGGATAAAGCAATTTATCCATCCATTCATTATTCATCCATCCATCCATCCATTCATTTATTCATCCATCCATTCAGTTATTCATTCAAAATATTTTTTCCATTGCATTTTACACATGCACTAGTGTTTGCAGCCGGACAATTTCTTTAATCGCATTTTCGCGCTTACATATCGATAGGATTTTTCCTCGTCAAGAGCATTTTTTTTTGTCATTAGAAACACAGTTGCCATGGTATCCTAACGTCTTGTCTCATTAACAGGTGATAAGGAAGGTATTGCGCAATCTGAAGATATTGGACGCGACTTGTCATCAGTACAGACCTTGATCACTAAGCAAGTATGTGTCAACATGTGTTAGCAATTAGGAAACATCTAAAATAGATAACAGAAACCGTCCATTTTTTACGGGCATAGAGGGAAGCTGGTGGGATTTAGTGGGGGAACTGACGTTAAAATTATGGCATTTAAGGGGGCCACCCCAAAAGTAATTAGCCAAGTACAAAATTAAATTAATATGGTTTGTGACGTTGTAATGTGGTATTTATTTTTCGTTTTTTACGAACAGGAAACATTCGAAGCTGGTCTCCAGGCATTCGAGAATGAAGGCATTGCACGTGTGACGGCTCTGAAGGACGAGTTAGTGGCATCGCAGCACGAACAATCCCCAGCCATCATCAAGCGACACGACGATCTAATCAAGAGGTAAGCGGTATATCTTATTAGCAGAATTACACCAAGAATAGACCTCTTTGGGTGTATTGTCTTCCAATTTCAGGCCATGTGTCATTCACTAGAGAGAATCATTTCTTTGTTGAACGGTTGTGCGCGAATATACATAAATATCGATAGAACTCAAACTAAGGCTGCGTTTACACGGTACCGGATACCGGAAGAACTTTTAACCGCTCTAAATGATTTGACCTGTACATTTTGTTTACACGGAACCGTCCCTTTAATTGTTTAAAAAATTTGTTCTGTTTACACGGAACCGGATTCAAATTTGCACGGCTAGGCGTAAGAACGTGTGAACTAAACGTACAGCTTTTTGACTGGTTAAAAGTTCGTCTGGTACCGTGTAAACGCAGCCTATGAATCTGATTCTCTAGACAATGACACGTGATCTAGTCTCCCCCACAGCCGCTTTCAGTGTCGTCACGCAACGCTTTCTCCCCTCAGGAGAAAGCGTTGCGTGACGACACTGAAAGCGGCTGTGGGGAGACTACACGTGATCTGAAATGAGATAACATTACGCCGAATTGGCTGTGTTCTAACATATCACGTGATCATCTCCCGCATGGTGGATAGGATATTTTAAAATATTTTTAGTAAAATTAAACATGCATTTAAGCCACTGAGTTATTTTAAAATTCAGTTCAATGTATCCCCTTGTTGTGTCCTCTAAATTGAGCTGCATTCCGGGCTCTATCGAGGAAATAGTCTTTATGTGTTGTACAGAAAAATTTTCGCACATCATTGGGATATCTTCAAGCTTCCCATTCACTGCCCAGGATGGCGCAATGGAACCACGTGACACGAACGTACATATCGGCAAGTTTTTTCATTTTACAAGAGTCATTGTGATCCTAAAGTCTTGACCTTTTTTTAAAAACAGATGGCAGGAGCTTCTGGATGCATCTCAAGCTCGCAAACAACGTTTGCTTCAGTCTCAAGAACAATACAAGAAGGTAACGAAAAACATTTGATTGAACGTTTACGAGGGATAAATATCAAATTCTATCTTTGGTCACCCTGTGTCCAAGACGAACTGATCCTTAGGAAGTCTCTTTTTCGGCCARGAACACAGAGATTAAGCGCGAACTRTGACAAAGCCTCATTAATAAAATTTATCTTTTCTCATATCAAATATTAATGGTTTTCAAGTCGGTCATGTTGGAGGACTTTAACAAAAGAATTATCAATGAATTATTTTGTTATATCCTCCAACATGGACGCCGTGTCTTTTGTTATTTAATTCTTTTGGCAATAGTTGAAAACCATCAATGAAATTATCAATTGTTTCCAAATTACTATTGATCAACTCGTAGTCACAGAGATGCCCATATTTAACCAGATACCTTAATAGCTAAATTTTGATGCTTTCATCTTCCAAGGTTGAGGACTTGTTCCTTCTGTTCGCCAAGAAAGCGTCTGCTTTCAACAGCTGGTTTGAGAACGCTGAAGAGGATCTTACTGATCCTGTGCGCTGCAACTCTGTGGAGGAGATTAATGTATGTATTCTTCGATTGCACGTTACGTCATCGCGGGCATGTTGGTACCATTTAACAAAAGATTTCTCATTAGCATCCATTGTTAACGGTACCACAATGGCCGCCATGTTTTTGTCTTTTAACTCTCTTGGGAATGCTTGCAACCCATCAATACGCCTCCTCATTTCAATCAAAAAAGGCTGTCATCACCAAAGGCGATAGGCAATAAGCGATAGGAGATAGGTCATTCCAAGATCCAAGAATAGCTGGAATGACTTGTTTTTCTGCTACTTATTTTCGTCAAGAAAATGAACCATTGATGAAGGTCTTTGTTTAGACCAAACGTCTGTTTTGAAAATTGTAAATTTCACAACTTTAAATCATAATAAATAATGTTGAGACTGATTCAATGTTCTTTGTATTCAACGAAACCATTTCCATGTCAGAATGACCTATCGCCTTTGACGATGACAATGTTGTTTTTTTGTGATAGGTGTACACACCTGTAAAATGTAATTTTATTTTTATTTTATTTTATTATTTATTAACTTTACAACTAGATATTTAAATCTAATTGGGGGCATGGCCAAAAGGACAAGAGTCCCATGTAAAAACCAGCCTAATACCTTACAACTAATCAAACAAAAAACAAAAAAATCCAAACAAAAAAAAACAAAAAAAAAAAAAMAAAGGCATTTTACGACTGTGATATCACAGGTATCCCAGTAATATAATTGAGAGGGGTCTTATGGAGTTTTTTTATATATGTATTATCTCACAGGCCCTGCAAGACGCTCACACCCAGTTCAGAGAGACCTTGGATCAAGCTGAAGAAGATATGTACGCTTTGAGGAAACTGGACAGGCAGATCAAGAGCTACAAAGTGTCTATTAACCCGTATGTATTTTCATTCTATTTGCTGTAACTTCCAAGGAACTTTCCCTTTGTTTAATGGACTCATCTTTTGACTTGCCTTATATTCAGTATTTTTCTTGATACATAATATCCAAATATCCATCAGTCTTTTTTTTTTCTTCTTTTTTTTCCCGCCTGCTATTTGTACTCCCTTACGTCCATTACATTTGTAAACACGCGATTTATATGCTGTATGTGTGTGCTTTTTGTTGTTATTTGTTTGTCTTTTAGCACGTTTTCCAACAACATGCCCATTTGTTTTCGTTTTCTGATATATTTACCCTTTCTCGTACATTATCCCCTTGGAGAGTTGTTAACTCGTATTATTCATTTTCTTATTTCCATTATTTTGTCATTGTTATATATTCAAGAACGTGTTGTTGTCTTTGGCAGGTACACCTGGTTTACGATGGAGGCACTAGAAGACACCTGGGAAAACCTTCAGAAGATTATCGAGGTACGATAGATAATATTACAGTTGATTGCTGATATTTGGATAGCATATGTTTACAATTTTTCTGGGTGTTGTGTATAGGAACGTGAAGAAGATTTGCGCAATGAATGTTACAGTTGATTAGTGATGTTTGGATAGGAAATGTTTACAATTTTTCTGGGTGTTGTGTATAGGAACGTGAAGAAGATTTGCGCAAAGAATGTTACAGTTGATTGGTGATGTTTGGATAGGAAATGTTTACAATTTTTCTGGGTGTTGTCTTATAGGAACGTGAAGAAGATTTGCGTAAAGAAGCACAGCGTCAAGAATACAATGATGGGCTGCGGCAAGAGTTTGCTCGCCAAGCTAATGGCTTCCACGCCTGGCTCACTGAAACAAGGTATATTTTATATCTGCAWCATCACCACCACCATTATCGTACCACCACTAGCTTCCCTAACTAGTAGCTAACGTGCTGGATTTATTTTTTATAGGGCATTCATGGTGGACGGACAGGGAGATCTTGAAGATCAGCTGGCTGACATCTTGAAGAAGGAAGCTGAAATAGCAGAAAGCAAGGGAGATCTTGAGGTTATTGAAGGACTTGGTGCTCAGATGGAGGAAGCCCTTATCTTAGACAACAGGTAATTGCCTGATCTATTTATTTTTAGTGAGCCCCTTTGATAAGCTTTTTCTCTTGGGAAAAACCAGAGTATATAAGACTTACACATACTTTCACACACTTACACCCATTTGCACACACTAGTATCGGGAAATTTGATTCGTTGAATTGCACTTGTAGAACACAAAGACAGTTGCAAAGCAAAACAGTTTTCCATTAATGAAAAGAAAGTCAGAGTTCAACTATCTACTCGCTTACTCACTCCCTCCCTCTCTTCTTCATACTCTTGCCTCCTTCCTTCCTTCCTTCCTTTCCTCCTCCCTCCCTCCCTCCCTCCAATCCTTCCTTCCATCCTTCCACCAACCTATCCATTCATCCTCACTCCTTCGTTCCTTCTCTACCTCCCTTCCTCTATCTGCCTCCCTCCTTGCCTCCTCCCCTTTCTCTGTATTTTCAGCTAGTCATCTTTTCACTAGAATAATCGTCCTTCCGCAAAAGTACTAAGACACATATGTTTTCTTCTTTCTTCACCACAGGTATACCGAGCATAGCACCGTGGATCTTGCTCAGCAATGGGACCAATTGGATCAGCTGGCCATGCGTATGAAGCACAACCTGGAACAGCAGATCCAGGCCCGTAAGACGACTGGGGTATCAGAAGACAGTCTCAAGGAGTTCACCATCATGTTCAGGTGAGAGGTTATCTACCAAGACAGACACATCATACTACTTGACAGCCATACAGGGACTTTTCATTTTTTCATTGCTGTCACATGTCAAATGATTACAATAGTCATAATTGCACGAATAGAAGTATGTCTAATGTATTGAACCTTGCCACACTTGTAATAACCCTCGCGGCATAGAAGGAAGCGTCACATCAACCAAGCTCGCATGCTTTTGGCGTTCGCAGAAATTCAACACGCGACCCAACGCGTAGGATTCACAGCGGTGAAAGGCAAACGTTCTACTGCTGTGCCACGCTTTCAATCCTTTATGTTTATTGTGCTTCGGTGGAAAAACTAATCTATATATCTATCTATCTACTTTCCTTCAGGCATTTCGACAAGGACAAGACAGGATACTTGGACTACCAGGAATTCAAGTCTTGTCTGCGTTCACTGGGATATGACTTGCCTGTTGTGGAAGAAGGCGAAAGTGATCCAGAGTTTGATGCCATCATCAGACGCGTCGATCCTAATGGGTAAAGTATTTAGAGAGGGATTTCACTCACGTGACAAGGCAGCCAAATTGGTGTGCCAGTTCAATTTCCGGAGAATAGCAAATGTATTGTTTTGGTACACCAACATGGCCGCTGTGACGTCAAGTGAAAACTCTATAGCCGCCACTGGAGTTAAGTAAGATACGAATGCGACAACTAATAATTGATATAATAATGATTGTTATCTGTAGTGATGGCGTCGTTTCCATGGGTGAATACATGGCTTTCATGATCAGCCGAGAAACAGAGAATGTTGGCTCCAGCCAGGAAGTCGAGAACGCGTTTATGGCGCTGACTGAGGGAGGAAAGAGGAAATACGTCACTGAATCTGACCTTTATCAGGTATGTTGTTAGGCTTTTAGCTACTATTAGATCGTAAGAGGAATGTATGGGTTTTTTCTCTTTTGCTTGCGTTGTCTTTCCTTTCTCCCTTTTTTCTTTCATACTTTCTTTGCATTGCTTTGCTGTTTGCTCTGCTCTGCTCTGCTCTGCTCTGCTCTGCTCTGCTCTGCTCTGCTCTGCTCTGCTCTGCTCTGCTCTGCTCTGTTGTTGTTTATTTACAATTTTTCTAATTCAGTTTTCTTTCTTTCAGTCTCTAACAAAGGAACAGGCCGAGTACTGCATCGATCGTATGCAACCATACGTAGACGACAAAGGACGTGAAATCCCTGGTGCTTACGACTACAAGTCCTTCTGCTCCGCCTTGTTCTCCAACTACTAAACGTGTATCTCTAAAAGAAATCCTCTGCAATCCTGCTGTAGTTTTTAATTTTTATTTGACGTTAATGGTGTTTGTTAAATTTGCTATTTTGGTTTTAAGCTATGTAGAGTAAAATAAATTAAAATAAGAGTGGAATTAGGTAAACTAACTGGATAAACCTGTTTTTTCCAAAGAAAAATTTTTTTTTGTTGCTTTACTTTTGATAATCTGTCACAGTTTAAGCACGATAGACCAATGCATAAATAAAACACGTCAGAAGCCTACCTCGTGTTGTTGTTTGATCAACTTTTGGAGGTGTTTCAGGGGCGCCGGAACCGGGGGGGGGGCTTTTTGTGAATTTTTAATACATTTTCACTAAACTCAGCTCCCCCCACCTTGCCATTCAATGTCACTATTGAGCCCCCCAATCAAAAAACTGCTCCGCCGTCCCTGTGTTTGGGGAATTTCCAGGGGCATATGCTTTTACGTATACCCTGAAACAACCTTTGGCCTGAGGCCAGGGTAAGGCTAACACATATTGAACCCTGAAACAACCTCTGGGCTGATCTAGGTCGGGGCATGGCTAGTTCACAGATCGAACCCTGAAACAACCTCTGGGCTGATCTAGGTCAGGGCATGGCTAGTTCACAGATCGAACCCTGAAACAACCTCTGGGCTGATCTAGGTCAGGGCAAGGCTAGCTCACAGATCGAACCCTGAAACAACCTCTGGGCTTGTCTAAGTTGGGGCACGGCTAGCTCACAGACCGAATCCTGAAACAACCTCTGGGCTTGTCTAAGTTGGGGCATCGAATTGGAATTTTAAAGCTTGTAATGTTTTTGTGGAGGGAGGAAAACTGGAGCCGTAGCTGAATAAAAACCCTTAAATCAAGGGAGATACCGAGCGAACTCTATGCATGGCATATCGAGTCAGGAACCGATCTCGTGACCCCAGGGGTGGGTGGCGAGTGCTATGTCGACCTTGATCATGAAAGAAACGTTTCATTCCCTGTACAATTGATGTTATTGGGTTAAAAGCCCATTTCTTGCAGAAAATACCCTAGCTTTTATTACTCCTATGAATCAATCAAACTGGCACATAATGACTCGTATACTAGAGGAAGTGGAAGAGCGGATCATTAGACCTATGGCTTGGAAGCCCTTTATTACGGCCTTGGTTTTAATAATTTACAATATAATATTCAACTTCACTAAATATCATCTTCAAAAGAAGGTACTGGGGGCGTTGTGCACACATCAGAACATTTTTTTTTCTTTGGAGGGGAGCTTTCACTTCCGTTTGTTTCGTCTTGTTTTTGTTTTTGTTTTGTTTTGTTTGTTTGTTTGTTTTTTGTTGATGTTGTTTTGACTTTCTCTTCTCCCTTAACTTTAATTTCTCCTATCATTTCTCAGTCTTTCACGGGGCGTTTGATATGAACCTGAACAGGTGTGTAGAAGTTAACAGCACTTAGGGCCGTCTATCGGGTCTTGATAAGTTTTTCCGGCTTCGAGCTGGATCCGGTTTTCCATCCCCTCAAGACCTAGTTTTCGGATGGTTCGGCTTTGATCAAACTCAGAGATTTTTCAGCATAAGGGCATCGATAAAATTCGAAGATTTTGCATTCAAATTTATCATCTCTTCATTATCAAATGCAGAGCAGATGTTTGCACCATTTTGAATGCCGGGCAAAAAAAAAAGTGTAAAACCAGTTTTTCCTTAAATTCTCGAGGCCTTCACAAATCTCCAAGTTTAAAGAGTCGAGTGAGGATTCCAGCCTTACTTCACACAAGTTTTTTGTAGAAATACTCAGAAATGCTTTTTAGGCTTGAAAGTACTCCAGAACTCATAATAACTATGAGTCAACCAGAGTATTCAAGACCCTCGGGATTCCCGCTGAATCAGCGAAAACCAGCCGTTCACAAGCTTCATTCCCACAATCCTCTGCCCTCTCAATACAAAACTTTCACTCAAGATGAACAGGAACTCAAAAGTTTTGTCCGAAAAATTATCCTAAAAACCCAAAACATAAACATGAAAAAACGATTCTCGAGTGACTAACGATCCACAATGCCGTTATTCAGGACGAGAAAAGTTGATAAAGACGAAGCACAGAGAAGAATTCAGCGATGTCTTGTCGTAGTATGTCAACCATTTTTATGCTGAAGTTTCTCTCGTACAATATTTTTCTTTATATTATTTATTATTTTTGACGATTGCCAGCAGTTTGGTAACTCTCTCCGCGTATTGATATTTCCTCTGTTGCTTTTTAAGGCTGAGGAATCGCCTGAACCTTCGCTGGATTTGTCAGGTTGTGGAGTGACAGAGGTACAAGTTGAATATTCTATTCTTTAAATTAGTTTTATTCATGTTTTGAAGTGTTCTGAATAAAATATCAGCAACATTTTATTTCCTAAGAACCTTGCCTTGAATTTTGCAATTCAAACATCTGTTTTGTATCCATTTGATATACGTGACTCTATAGTTTCCCTTTGATGACTAATCATAATTTAAGCCTGCCTTACATAATATTATTATTCTAATATTGGAAATTAAAGCTACGTATTTAAATAATGTGTAGTTGTCAAACATTTTATGAACGATCATTTATTTAAGAATTCAAATATCGAGGTATTTCTGCTCATTTTCTGCTGGATTATATTAGGTTTTAGAGTTCATAACTTACGCTTAATAAGATCATTAACCCATTTTTTCATCATTGATAATGGCAGCAATATTGGTTTGCAGTAGTTGTTGCATACCATGGCCATATGAATTAGTTAGTCCATCAACAGACATATTTTAAAAGTCAACGACAGATATTTTATTAGTATWTTTTTTTTAAACAAGTCTCAGTGTACACCAATTAATACACTCAAGAGACTGGAGAGGAAATGGCATTTTGCAGAGATCCTGACTTTTTAAATAATATCCACTGAAGATTGCTAAGAGTGGGAAATATAACAGACTCAGGAATTATATATGGGAAAAAGGGAAAACGTTTTCCCCTTCCAATTATTAAAGCATAATTCATTACAATTACTTACTTCCATATTTTTTTCTTCAATGTTTTAGCTTCCAAAAGATGTTTTTTCACTTTGCCGTGTATTAAGAAAAGAGGTAATGTTTCAGTCTTGAAAAACTCACCGATTCAAAAGGCTGTTTTGGTTTGCAATAATATTTATATAATCATTTTTATTAATAAATAATAGGATTATAAGTGATAAGATGCATTATAATTTCACAAGATTTCTGATGCAGTCTTAAGCACAATAATATGTGCATACTTTCTACTCTAATAACCC